CAGGTTTATCTAATATATATTTTAATTTGGTTTTTAGATATTTATTGTATAGCTCTGTTTTTACTTACCTGTAAGCCGCCCTGAGTCCCTCGGGAGAAGGGCGGGGTATAAATTAAAGTATTATTATTATTATTATTATTATTATTATTATTATTATTATTATTATTATTATTATTATTATTATTATTATTATTATAAATAGCATAAGCATGACCTCGCCCAGAATGTAGGAAGCTTTATCTGGCCATTCCCAGGGGAAGGCAAGCAGTCTGGCGAGATTCTTGTAATATAGGTGACAAACAATAAAGTTTTCAGCCTGAGGCTTTTCACCAGTGCTTCTGCTTACTTCCACCTGACAGAGGACCTTGCTATGATCGCTGTTATCAAAAAAGCTCAAGCTGTAGTAGACATTGCTCAAAGAGATCTTTAAATGTACAGTAGTGGCCAAAATTGTGGAAACCTTTTGGGAAAAGTGTATTTTTGAGGTTTGATGGCTAATAACACCCCTTTTTTGGGGGGGAGTAGTACCATAAAATTATATATCAATGGAAAGATGATTTAATCAAGAATGTAATGCAACAAAGTTTGTTCAATTATCTGTACTGTATTGTATGAAAAGTTATAGCCAAATAACCAGAAAAAGGAAGCACAACTTGCTTAGGTTGATATCAGGTAGCTTTCCTTCATCTGATTGTAGCCAATGAGCATGAGTGTTTAGAGAGCCAATCAGGCATCATCTTGTTTTGGCAATGAGCCAATCAGATCACATCGGTTATTGATGTCATGTATTGAAGCTGAGAGGAGGACATTTGTCAGTGTGTTATGTGATCGCTAGCAAATTGGTTGGGGTTTTTTGTGTTCTTTCCTTTAGTGAGCTTGTAAAACGTAATAAAATTAAAGTAATGGTGCAAAGAATTGACTGGTTGCCCAGAAAGCGATGCAAAATAGTATTATTAAGTGAACAAGGCTACAGTTATAAAGAAATTAGAAGCAAAATTGGTGGAAACTAAACCTAAGGTAGCATTTCTACTGTACACTTTTCCCAAAAGGTTTCCACAATTTTGGCCACTACTGTATTTAGCCATTAAAGCAGCGGTTCTCAACCTATGGGTCGGGACCCCATTTGGGGTCGATCGACCATTTCACGGGGGTCGCCAAGCAAGGCTGTCCGCCATTTTTTCCCCCTTTTCCGGCAGGTGCCTTACCTCCCTTGGGCTGGGCCAGCTGGTGGTCGGTCTGCTCCGTCTCTGCCGCTTGCCAGCTACGCCTCGGCCGGCACAGGGGGCGGAACCACTCATATGTGGCGCTCCCGGGCAGGGAAAGTCCTCGACTTACGACCTGTTGGGTAGTCCTCGACTTACGACCGGTTTAGTCCTCGACTTACGACCGGTTTAGTCCTCGACTTACGATCGGTTGGGGGGTCGCGGCATTAAAAAGGTTGAGAACCACTGCATTAAAGTGAAACATAT